ATTTAAGAAGCACTGGAAGGAAGAAAGAGGAAAGGAAGAATGAGAAGGAAGATGTGCTCCTAGCTCTATCCTGGCTCCCTCCTGGGTGAGGCAGGCCTGGGACCCACCCAGAAGTCCCTGCCTCTTGTGGGAAAAACAAAACTGAGAGAGCAGTAGATAGAGTTAAGTGGGACAGTGTCCCTGTCCTGGAGGAGGGCCTCCATCTTCTCCTCTCATGATGATCCCACATGAGGCCTGGACCTTCTCGGTGGGCCCCGAGTTTCTCCTTGCCTACAACAGGAAGTTCACCTGTAACGCAACCATTCTGCACTTCCCCCTTACAGAATTGTAGATAAATATGACAGAGAACGCTCTTGAGGAGCTCATAGGCTAAGGAGGAAGGGGAACTGTGAAACTAAGGAGAGCAGGGGGACAGTGGCCGTGTCAGGTTGGGAAGGGAGAGACTCACTGAATTCGACCTCTGGGATTCACTGTGTATTCTGCTCCCAAGGCTGGGACTTCAAGACGAGATGCGACCTCTCTCACCTGTATATGTGGACTACTCTGCTCTAGTACATGCCACCGTGACCCATGTCACAGGAGGACAGGATAAGACGGATGACCACAGGAATGACAGCAAGAATCATGTGCAAGCTGCTTGATTCTCCCCAGGATGTTAAAGCTTTGTTCCAAGAAGGAGAAGCCGTGGAGTGGAAGGTACACGGACACAGTTGAAAGCAGCCACCATAGAATAGAGTGCTGGAGGTACTGGACCTGATGCCCTTCTACCTCCGTCCACTCCTAGGCTGTTTGCCTGCTCTTTCTTGGAAGAGTTTATTGGACGGTGACCCTCTGAGTGTTTGCCCTTGCTCCATGACTCAGCAGCTCATCCCTACCTATCGCTTCCTTCAAGCAACCTTCACTGGTTTTAAGGTAACATCCTGTAATAGATATAGCACATATGTTTATGCATATTTTTTATTTAAAGGTTGACAGGCAGGGCTTTTTGGCTCTATTATTTTTATTAGGACATGTAGAGTTTTATGTTAGCATTATGATCACAGTATTATATAGATTTCCATGTCTGTCCCAAACCTATATTTACAAACACCTTGTTATTTTTAATATATAATTCTGCAGAACACAAATTATTTCAGAATATATATATATATATATTTATATATATATACACACATATATATACAAACATATACATATGTATAATGTTACATTATACATATATATATGTATAATGTAACTTACAATGTAATATAAGTGTCAAAACAGAAATGTCTATCAATTTATCAAAAGCTTTCCTGTAAGCTGTTGGGTGGGAATGAATTCATTCATTTTTCAGATAAGGAAACTAAGGCTCAGAATTGTTAAATGCCTTATCTAATGGAGATGAATCAGGACTTGAATCCAAGGCTTCAATTCCAAATCCATTTACTGAGTCTTCATCATAGCCTAGTCCCTAGTCCATGGTAGGCAATCAATAAATTATTGTGGTAAAATTACCACTGTCTCTAGATTATTTATCTATCTGATAATACAATTCATGTGTGTCATTTTGAAGTGTTTTTTTTAAAGAATACTGAGGAGAAAAGAAGATAATTAAATGTTTTGAGCACCTACTATGAGCTAGAATGACAATAGATGTTTTTGAACACACACATACATACACGCACATAGGTGGGAGATAGCTTTTATTATTCCATTTTACAGATGAGAAACTATGCTTAACCACTTAAGGAAATTATCTTATACTACCATAAAGGGAATGAGTTTATAAGATTAGAACTCAAGTCCACCTGATTCCAAAGCCCATACTTGTCTACATAATCAGTGGAAGATGCCTGCCTCTTATAGAATAAGGGCCAACATTCAATGGCACATTGACAAATCGATACTTATTTTATGGTTTTGTGCTAATATTTTCTTTAACTAAATGTCTGTGGCAATTAATACTTGTTTTCCACTTACCACAGGATCCAATCCAATCCAACAATATCTATTTATAATCTATAAACATCTTTTTAGAGTTTTAAAGAAGTGAATTATTTAGAAGAAAACATTAATTAATTTTGGACATGTAAGTGGACATGTAAAAATGAAAAAATAGTGATGGGTAAATGTCAGAAACTTGAGAAATGGGACTTTTATTCCTAATAAATACTTAATAAAACATTTTGCATGTGAATGATTGATTCTTATAAGTTATACTGGCAGATATTTTCTACATTACTTAGAAAAGAAAGGACATTAGAACAGGCCTGTTTCTCTGAAGAGTGCTTTAGGGAATTTAACATGATCCTCTTTTTCAACATTCTGTGTCAGTGGTTTCTTCATAGGATTCTGAGGTAGCTCCTCTAAGAAGTACTTGGGTTCTTTCATGCTAGAGGAAGCTGTAGATGTAGAAATAGCAGCATTAGAGTCATGCAAGTTTTCAGAGCCTGGTGAATGTTTCCAAGTGATCTACATGCTTAAGGTTTGGGTCGTACAGACAAACAAAATAAAAGGCTCTGGGCCCACTCAAGACATCTGACTTTCCATTCCATCTTTGACCACTAACTTCCTGACACTCAGGTAAGTCATGGCTGGGGACCTCAGTGTTCCCACTGGTTAAATGAAGAAGCTTTGATTTACAGAACCATTTTTTCCAGCAACGTGAGACACACCCAGTTGAGAATGACTACAACTGACAAAAGCAGCCAAGTTAGGAGGCACCTGCCTACCACGGGCACGAAAGCCCTTCCAGTTCTGAAAGCCTGTGATTTCATGACTTTGGTTGCTTGGATTGCACTTGGCCACACAAGTAGCAGTAATATACACAAAGAGCCATTAAACAGTCTGAATTATGCTTATTATTAATGTCACATCACAAGCAGCATAAGTCAAGCTAGTGTAAACTCTCTCTTGCCCAACCAGGCAATGAGTACTTGGGTTAATTAAATGTCCTTATTAACACCACTGTACTCGCTATAATTGTAGATATGGGGTTTTTATTTTTAAGAAATGCATAATGTGACTTTGGACATGTTATTGTATTGAACATAATTTAAACTAGTCTTGGTCAATATTCTCTTTTCTTCATCTTATTAGTTTGCTTTTGTTTTTAACTAAGAAAGCAATCCATGCTTATTGTGGTAGGTTACTCTACAGCAACTATTTACTTCCTCCTTCTGCAACCTCCATGACTTCCCAGCTCCTCCAACATTGAATTTGGCCCTGTGAATCATTTCAGCCCACAGAGGGTGGGCAGAAATGGCAACACTCCCATTCCATGTCTGGGCCTTAAAAACCTTTGTGTGCTCTCATTTACCGTAATCTGTTTCCTGAGAGGAATATGTCCCTAGTAGATTCCGTCTCTCCAGCTTGGGTTCTAGAATGAGATGCAGGACATGGCCCTGTATTTGACCCTCTCTAGGCTGCAAACTGTATACGTGCAACACGACACCAAAGTAGGTAGTTCCAGGAAAAGCCACTGTCATTACTTAGAAAACTGCAGTGGTGTTATGTGCAACAGGGAGTACAGAAGACTGACTGGGGCCTGAGGAAGACTGAACCACCTCAACTGTGGGCCAGTGAGCAGAAGATAAAGTGCTTGGTACTGGATGGCACTCAGACTTTGTGGTTTGCTTCACCTGTTATGACAAACACGAATTTACAGAAATGATCTAAGTTTCAAAGTGAATAAAATGTCTCTAATCCTGCCTCCAACTAAGGTAGCTGGTAATAGCCCTGGTGCTTTCTACTCCTCTGGTTTTTCCAGGGATTAAGTAAGCAAATGCATATAAAAACACTTAGCAGTGACTACGAAGCACTCATTAAACATAAGCTGTTTTTATTAACGGTCTCACACAAATACTCTCAAAGTTTTTTTAAAATTCATCCAAAAAGGAGCCCATACTATGTACTTCACTCTGAAACTTTCTTCACTCAATGCTATATCCTGGGGATCTCTCCAGGTCAACTCATTTCTTTATAGACAATTAACTCATCTTTTAGAATGGCTGCATAATGTTCCATGGTTTCAATATTCTGTCATGTATTTATTTTACTTATTTTCATTTTAAAGAACTCGAGACTCAGAGAACTGAGGTGTTTGTCAGAACATTTGCCTTCCCTCCCTAACAAGCCCTCCATGTCTCACTTTGGCTTTGCAATAAACCTTAACCAATAAAAGGTGAATGAAAGTGGTCTGTGGACAATGAAAGGTGAAGTGATCTGTGATCTTAGGAGCTACCCCATAGTGTTATCACTTTTTTTTTTTTTTTTTTGTGACATGCACCAGCAATATTCCAGACAGGCTCCTTTGGCCTGGGTTTTGCAGTAAAGAGCTCAAACCTGAATCCAGATGGACCTGTTAACACCTATAAAATAAACTTATATTGTTTCAAGCCTCTGAGATTTGGGTGATTGTTCAATGCCACATCAAGATTTAAAGACTACTACTGTGGTCTTTCCAGACCTTCAGGAATTTGAGTGTTTAATGCAAATACTCATCATCACTGGTTTGGCCAAGCACCAATATGCTAGGTAAAGAGGTAAGTTGACAGAGTAATTAGCAACAATCAACCCCCTAACTTCATTTTAGCAAATTATCAACAGCCCCCCTCCCCATCTGCCACATCACTAGGCAAAGGACAAGACAGAATCACAAAAAGATAAATTTTCACAATCCAGTAAGTTCAGGACCATCCTCTGTGTTGGGGGAAGTCTCTCAGATCAGTATCATGAAAACTTTGACCCAGTTTCTCCAGGTTGCCAACTACATATACACTGACATGTAACACTTCACCAAAGTCTATGGTTCCTAGAAAAGTCATTATCCCTTCTTAGAATTGTGCAGGTACCGTGGAGCAGGGACTAAAAGGACCATAGGAAGTCTAGTTGCAATTTTGCTGTTAATCAACTCTGAGAACTTCAGCATGTTCAGAGGACTGCTGTGAGACTCCAGTGAGAGACAGCAGCTACAGTAGTCACAAGATTTAAAAACAACAACAAAAAGGCATTTTTATTTTTTTTAAATTGCGAGTATACATGTTTATTGCAGAAAAGTTTAAAACAAACAGGGAAGCAATAAGGACAGTGGAATTTACCCAAATAGCACTCATTGACATTTCTTAAGAATATTTTTTTAGTTGTTGATGGACCTTTATTTTATTTATTTATATGCAGTGCTGAGATTTAAACCCAGTGCCTCACATATGTGAGGCAAGTGCTCTACCACTGAGCCACAATCCCAGCCCATTCATTGACATCTTGATGGCTACCCAGTCATATTTCCTAAGAACATGCATACACATCTTAGTGTATGATGCTTGAACATAGTGCAAGGCCTCCAGGTGCACTTCAGCACATGTGCACATAAACCACAAAGCCCTCCTCTGATGCTCATCCTCACTCTTCCTTTCTTGCTTCCCTTTTGTCCCTCCAAACATACCCTACATTCCTTAACACCAGGCCTTGTTGTACGTCCTGACTCTTCTTAGATTATTCTTTCTTTCTGCACCACCTCCACTTCTTCTGGGTACTTCTATTCATCCTGGAAGTCTCAGTTTAAAACTTTCACCACCTTCTTAACAACAATTCTCTGGTCTCTACCCTTGTTAGGTGCCATGTGCAGACAGAGAATCCTGTTCCTGTCTGTCACATCACGGCATTATCAGACTGGAATAGTCTTGCCTCCTGGTTACCCACTTTCCTTGCTATCTGTCAACTTGTAGGTAGGCCTGTAGTTCCTGTTTACCATGATCACCAGAGACAGGTCTATGGTAAATACTCACACACGGTTGAATTAATGAATGTTTAACAGTATGTGCTCTCTGGATTCTTTCTGAAAACCCCAAAGCACGAGGCATTTCTCAGTAAATACTCACTCTACGAGGACATAAGACATGCTAACATGCCTCATGAAGTTTATAAATTAGATGGGAAGAAAATATTAGCAAAAGGAAGCCTCCATATGCAATTAAGTGCCATCTGCTTTACTCTGTCTTCTCCATTAATTCTCTTCAAACTGGGACAAAACCCCTACTTTGGATCTGTGATCCCTCACTGAGGTTATCCTGCAGCACCAACTGCAGTAAGATGACATTGGCAGCTCTAACAAATATCCCAAATCTCAGTCCATCTACACAATAAAGTTGATTTCTCATTCCAAGTCCAAACCCTATTTCTGGGTTTTAGACGACCTTCTTTCAGAGATCCAGGCTCCTTTTCTCTGTGGTTGTATCCTTGTATATGACCTTGGAGTCCCTTATCAGGAGATAGGGAGAGATGGTTTTATGAACCAGGCCTGTGACACACATCCTTCTGACCCTCTTTGCAATGTTTAAAACTCAGGAACACCTACTTACAAAGGAGCCAGGAAATGCAGTCTAGCTGTGTACCAAGGTACAAAAGGGCAGGGGCTTGGTGAATACTTTATAGTTCTTCTACCAGAACAGTAAGTATCTCATCGTCCCAAGTGATCCTTAAATATGGAAGCAATAAAGACAGTGGATAAAGTATAGGTAATTTTGATTTATGATACTGAAAACACTTGTTTTGATAGAAGAATGTCCATAACTAACATTGGACATGAGAAAACATCAATGCAGTTTACAAATTTTGTGAGTAAAAATGTGCAACTCTAGAATTGAGAAACCACTAATGTTGGAGACAAACTCCAAATTCTAAATGAGATTACTTAAGATGGCTTTTATGAATTGTGAAAATAAGTGATGATTACCACAAGTACTATGTGCTTGCTAGGAATTATCATAAACTAACCTTACAGAGTGTCTGGAACATAGAAGACAATAAATATGTGTTGAGTGGAAGGACTTCAATTCTACAGTTAAAGTAATTGTCCTATTGATAAATAACTAATTTCAGCAAGTTCTTCCTTAAATATAGCAGCTGTCTTCTCTAACTTCTAACATTACTCTAGCTCTGACCTCAAAGCCTACAGAGTAAGTCAACTCCCCTTATTTGGAGACTCCTATATGTTCTGTCTTGTCCCCACCATCCCTACCCCATGACCCCCTGAATAATCCCAGTTCTTTCAGTTCTTTCCGATGGAGCATGGTTTCAGGTCTCTTATGGTGTAGCCATCCTACCTTCAGATCTCTATGGTTGGCCAAAATTGCTCTCCAAGTTTCATACCCACAGTATTCCTGAAGGTGTCCAGCCAACAGCACTAAGTAGAATTATTACTACTGCTCTCTGGGCATCATGTCCTCACTCTGTGGCTACAATATTTAAGTAGCCAAGATGCTGCCAAAGGAGGTCCTTCACTGGGAGAAGGACAGGTCTTGGAAGATCACCCAGAAGGACTCTGGCTACTTTATGATCCTGAAAGTTTTGTGAAAATTTTGAGTGCAGTCTAGGCATGCCCATAAGGGTGATGTACAGTTTTGAACTTCTCCTTGACAAAAACCTCTGATGAATAACCCAGATGGACTGAGCACACTCTCTGTGCCATGCTAGATGCTGTAGACTCAGTGAAGACCAAGAGATACTTTCTTCTGCCTTCTTGATGCTTGGCCTCTGGTTGGTGAAAGACACCTTAAACAAAAAATTAAAAAATACACAATCATACAAATAAATACATAATAACATATTTGATTCTATTGCTAAGAGAAAACTGCCACTTCCCTAGCCTCAGTTTTCTGTGAGGAGACATTTGTTAGGGACATTTGTCAGCAGGACTCTTTTAGACCTACTTACCTCCCCTGGGAAGGAGAGTGAGTTACTATCTTGCTTCAGAAGAGGAGCCCCAGCAAGCCTACCTCAGCCTACCTCTTGCTCTCTTTCACAGTTAATTCACCCAAAGGAGGTTTACATGAATTGCCCCTTTGGAAGCAACATGCAGCTGCCCATCTCTGCCAGGAACAATTAGGTTAGTTTAATTCAGGGGTGAAGCATCAGGAAATCCACTGTGGCTTCATGCCTACCAGGATCTCCAATACAGTCTATATTAATTGTCAAAATAACATCATGATCCATCCCCATTATCTGATGACCCCTGTGTCAAACTTTCAGCTGATTCTTAACTGAAAGGGGTGCTATTCATTACCTACCCTCAAATCCAAATAACTACAAAGAAAAAAAAATATAGGTACTTTTGAGAGAATGTAAAAGGGGAAATCTAATTCAGGTAGGAGTATGGAAGTCACAGGCAGTCTCTGTAAGTACCACTTATGCTAAATTCAATGAAAGAAAACAGCTGAAGAACAGGGAAGAGGGGGAAGGGCTCATATAAGGGTTCTGAGGCAACAGATAGTTTGTCATGTTTGGGGAACCAAGAAAAGCCAGTGTGGGAGTCATTAGAACTGGTCACCAAATACTTCCAGCTCTCTGCCTTCCAGGCAAATAGGATTGCATTTCCTGGCCCCTTGTGGCTGGGAGGGGCTGTGGACTAGGTTTAGTGAGAAGTGACATGTGGCCATTTAAAACAAAGACACTTAATGGCCCAGGTAAGACCCTTTAAAGCTCTCTTTTCCTCTACCATGAGCACCCAAAAGTGGGATCCCAGAGGAACATGGCACAGTGACCTTCCCAACCTTGATAGACATGTAGCAGAAGCAAGAAACACCATTCTCACCCTCCTTCTGTTTGTTTTTGATCATAAGTCACCAAAATCTGGGAATCATATCATAATTTAGGCGATCCTGACTGATCTAGCCATAGCCAGTGTGGCTGGAGAAAACAAAGTAAGGGAAGAAGTACTAGCTGCTTCAGACTAACATTTTAGCTAGGGGGTTTCACATGTTCCATATATTATGTAATAAAACACGGTACCATTTCTGATGTGACTATTAAAACACCCCCTTAATTCCACCATGGAAAAGGATTTTTTAAAAAAATCCTCAACAACCATTCATTAAGCACCTTCTCTGGTTGCATGTGCCCGGTTCCTTATTAAGCATTGGTAATACAAAATAAGTAGGACACATTTTCTGAGTTTGGAGTCAGGGACTAAAGAAGGCATTTACAAATTCATACGATTGACATCCACCCTCTCCTTCAGATGTGTACCCAGTGTGGTGAGAGCCAAAGAAGATAACTTTGAGGGCTAGGTGGGAGAACAGGGTGGAAGAAACTTCAGAATGAATGATTATTTGAGCTGGGTCTTGAAGAGTGAATAGGAGTTCGCCAGTTCACATTTTGCTTAAGGACAAAAAAAGTTAAATGGAAAGAAGAAAATGCTAGAGGAATGGAAAATGTTTGGAGTAGTTGAGACTCAAAGGAATGGAGGGAATGTGGAGTATAGGGTGTGGTGGACTGCATTACCATTCACAAATACTCCCTGTCCCTCCCCACTGACATCAGGCTTGGCCATGTAAACTGCTCTCAGCAGAAGCTTTAGAAGCCATGCTCTTTTCTCTCTGCCACAATCATCAGTGATGTTTTAGAGAAAAGATGCTTTATTAGCCAGGGTCCTGGGGCACATATGGGGGTAAAAGTACAAATACAGCTGACGTATGACAGACATGCAGTACAAGTGAGAAACAATTCAAGCTGTAATCCAGGAGATTTATGGATGGCTATCCAAGCATCACCTAGTCTAGACAGAGGTGTGCTTTTTCCAGCTCTCTGACTTCTAGGCACACAGTAGGGTTATACTTTCATATACCTTGAAGGCATGGTCATGTGACTGGTCTGGGCCAATAAACAGAATGATGTGTTTCATTCCTGGAAGGAAGGGTTTAGAGTCAACATGAATTTGCTGTGCTTTCTTTTGCTGCCAGGGTGACTGAATTCACTGTGGAAACATCAGGATGAAATCTTCAGCACAGGATTCTGAGTGAGCACAGTGAGCAGAGTCCCTTTGGCCTCAAACATATAGTATGAGCAAGAAATAAAGTTCGGTGTTAAGCCACTGATTTTAGGATTTTTTTGTTACAGCGCATAACCTGCCTGCTCCTGGCTGATACAAAAGTTGGCACCTAGATAGGGGCTGGGGTTGTGGGTCAGTGGTAAAGCGCTAGCCTAGCATGTGAGGTGTGAGGTGCTGGGTTCAATCTTTAGTATCACATAAAAATAAATAAATAAAAGAAAGGTATTGTGTCCAACTACAACCAAAAACAAAATATTTTTTTAAAAAAAGTTGGCACCTAGACAAAGGGTAATGTAATAACAATAATAAACACGTCAAGTACTCAATATTCATCAGCTGGCAAAATGAAAGAACACTGTTATCAGAAGCTGAAAGGATAGTGATCTATTTGGTAAATCCATCATCTGTGATAATGTAGAAGGAAAGTCACCAACCTACTGAACTAAAGCAAGAAAGTGTAAAACCATGTTAGCAGCATGTGTTGGTGGCTGCTGGATGCATTTGGGAAATTATCCTAAATAACTTCCCAAAGAGATGAGCTCAGAAAAGATCTGGCCACTCAGTGAGCAGGAATGAAAAAGAGTAGAGATAACCTACAGATTCAGGGATTTGCAAGGTTAGAAGAGGCAATCCAAACTATAAAATTAAGAAGTGTTTTCCACCAAAAAGAGGACCTTGAAGAAGATCAGCTCTGGAACGAGGATTAAGTCAAGGGGTGTGAACCTAACGCTAAAACCTTAGGATAAATCAGGATGTAACTTAGTGTCTGCTTCCAACTGGACAAAATGGCTCTGAAAAAGGGAAGAGAAAAAGTCTGACAGCTCTCCCATCAGTGCCCAATAAGATTAAAGCACTCAAAACCAAGCTGAAGGCAAGAGTGTGAGGGATCTGTAGGTAAGAGTGCAAGGAAGCTAAGAAAAATGCAAACCATAGGAGTCTGTTTAGAAAAGAACTGTGGCTGCAGCTATTGGCACATGGCATACCTGGTGTCCAGTAGAAAAGAAGTCTACATATTTGAGAGAAATGTTCCTACCAAAGAACAGGAGCCTGGATTATAGGAGGCCGTCTTCAAGACTTGACATCACCTACATCCATCCATCCCTCAATTTCTTAAAGGCTTATTTTAAAATACATTCCCTAAGATACACTTTAATGTAGATAAGGCAGACTATGAGAGGCAAATCCAGGAGAAAACAACAGACAGGGGCTATACTTAGGAAACAGAGCCAGGGTTTAATGGGGGTACTGGGTTGAGAGGACCTTCAAAATGTCTGCTCAGAGGGCCAGCATCAACTGTGATCTCTAATTCCTTCCCTTTCCAAATGGAGATTCTATGTCTGTCCCAGAATAAATACTACGGGGGATGCAGGGGAGGTAGCTTTCCTTCTGATAAAGCAGAGACACATCTGGATCCGAGGCAGACTCTTCTACACATCATCCAGAAAATTGGGAAAGAGAGCTGATGTTGTGACTGGAAGGGTCTTCAGGGCTGACACACTTGAGGAAAGGATGAACAAATACTGTCTTTGGGGCAAGAGTGAACTAAACATTTGGTGAACAGAAAGGGAGACTGTCAAGAGTCCTTAGTTTCCTCAAGTACTCCTGGAGAGACACTCCTCTTCAGACACTTGGCATGGTCACAGAGTCTTAAAGTTGGCAGGGCCACATGATTTGCTCTGGCCAGTGGTATATGAGCAGAAGTGATGTACCCAGACCCAGTCCATGATTAGCTGAGTACTCTCCCCCAGTCAAGGTAGTCGGGAAGCTTCCGTCAATACGAAGCCTCCTCAACAACAGTCCTTAAGTGACCACGGTGAGCAGTGCTTCCGGCAGACCCCACAGTGGGGATAAAACAGGAGCAGGAAATTTCAACAGGGTAAGACTTGGCCATGCTAGGGTTGCTCATTAGGACAGAAGAACTCAGCTTTCCCTGACAGGGAACTGGGAGGGACAGGAGAGGATGGAAAGAGGAGGTGCTGAACTGGCCCCTTCTGGACAAAGGAGTGGAAATCTTTCCTGGTAAAAAAGAGGAGGCCAATGAAGGCCTCCAGACAGAGACATTGCCATGATCAGAGCTGTTAATTTTGGGGTGAAATATGCTATTTCTCTACACAAGACGAAAATCGGCCTGCTACACCACCTAAGGCAGAGATGAACACAAAGAACCCTTAGACAAAAATATATATATTTACCAGGTCCTGAGATTAGGCTTCTACATACTAGAGCTCTGATAGGAGTTACAATCAGAAGCTCAGGAAAAAACATTTCTTCCATCTCCCAAGCACCCTTTCCTCTGCAGATAACTAATACTTTACAAGAAAGTTTGCAGGAAAGGAGAAAATACAAGGAATGCCACACAAATCTGAGATCAATTTCCAGCTGCCCGTGTGACCTGAGCAAGACACTCCATATTTCTGGGACTATTTCCCCAGGTTTGGTTTGGATAATTATATATGCTTCTCAAAATGGTTGTAAGAAGACAATGGTATATTTACATTGTTTAGAAAACCTGGTAGATTGTGGGTGTTTGGTGCATGAAACTTCGTTTTATTATAAAAACATTATATAGAACATCAGCTCCCTGATTACAGCAGATAATGATTCAGGCCACAGATAATGTTCCTCCTTGGGGGAAGTAACTGGATCCTGTCATCACTGGTATCAGTACCCCACCCCCACCCCAACGCAGTGCCTGGCTGGTAGTAGCCAGTTATCCTCTGCTCCAGGAGTGACAGGGAGGTTAGTGCCTGGAGTGAAGAAAAGTTGGACGACTTCCCACTGATACCAGCTGCTGTTGGTTTCTGAAATCACAAAAGTCACAGATACCTTAAGGCCCTAGTCTACAAACCCACGGATGAATTCCCCCAATTTCAGCAGCAGCAAAGTCCCAATCATAACCCAGGAAATAAAACTGCTATAGGACATACGTCAAACCCCAGACTCAGTTGGAAGGCTTGGGGAAAAGCTGACTGCCAACCCTTTCCTCCCCTCCTGCTCCTCACTGGAAAATACAACTGGTTCCCCTAATCACACTAGTATCCTGGTATTCCCTCGGGGCTCTGGGAAACTCTAAGAAAGGGTAGGGAAGGGGCTGTTTAGTGACCACTTCCCTGAAGGTAACAATGCTACTAACTCCTGGCAGACCAAGGCGGAGGATCTCTCCAGTCCCACTTGCTGATGAGGCAAATGAAAGCTCAGAGAAGTTCCGTGATTTGCGCACTTCACACCGTGGGGGCCTGTCCAAGAGAGAACCACGATTCCCGACTTCAGTATTTCCATCACACACTCTGGTCCCTAAGAGTGGGGGGCAGGGGTAAGATCCTAACCGCAGAAAAGAAACCACTTACATGGGTCTAGCGCTTCCTAGAGGCTGCATAGAATATGGGCCCACCACCAGACAGGGAGTGGAGAGATACAAGCGTGCTTCTATTCCAGACTCCCGGTTCTCCAGGGTGATTTTGGGCGAGTGCCCCCAGCTCTCCCGACTTGTTTTCCCGGAGGCAAATCAGGGCGGAAGGAGTGCTATAGTGTGTGCTGGGGGTGGGGAGGTGCGCACGTTGCGCGGGGGCGGGAGTCGGGCGCAGGCGAAATCCCGGTTCCCCGAATTTCTGATTTCCGGAATGCTCATTCCCATCTAGACACTGCACCCTCAATTCCACCCCTAAAGAGACCGCCCCTGTGAAGCAGAGCTGAACCCCCAGCACGCTTTCCCGCACGTTCCGGGAGGGTGAAGTAGGGTGCAGGGGACTCAGCTAAATCCGTATCCAGCAATGAAATAGCTCGGCTTCTGCCGTGCGGACCCCTGAACTTGAACAAGAGACAAACTTCAGAACGTTTTCAACGCAGGGAACCAACTCTCAAGATTGTCCCCAAACTTAAGCCCACTTTCGTTCGCCAGCTTGGGGACCTCACAGAGCCACCTTAAGGGCGGGGGGCGCGGGCTCCAGCGCCCAGTCTCCGGGCCGGCCGACTCCGAGCCCCCCACGTGGGGAGATAACTCCATTCCCAGTCCGCGCACTCTGCCCCAGAAGACTGGCCCGCATCCCTAGCCTTCCAGGTCCCCGCATCCCGCTCCTGAGCCCTGAACTTGAGCTTGCCTGGGTCTGACACTGCGAGCAAGCACCCGCTCGCAGCAGTCACCGTCACTAGACAGTCAAACCCCAAGACGTCAGCCCACAATGCACCGGGCGGGCCGGGAAAGACGCGCCGGGGCGGGGACCCGGGAAGAGACGGCCCGGAGGAGCGCGGGAGGGGGAAGGAGAGAGGAGGAGAAAGAAGGGCCCAACTGTAGGAGGGCAGCGGAGCATTACCTCATCCCGTGAGCCTCCGCGGGCCCAGAGAAGAATCTTCTAGGGTGGGGTCTCCATGGCGACGGGCGGGCCCGCCCCCTTGAGAGCGACGCGAGCCAATGGGAAGGCCTTGGGGTGACATCATGGGCTATTTTTAGGGGTTGACTGGTAGCAGATAAGTGTTGAGCTCGGGCTGGATAAGGGCTCAGAGTTGCACTGAGTGTAGCTGAAGCGGCAAGGCGGGAGTGGAGGTGCGGACTGAGGGAGACAGACACTCAGCCAGCCAGGAGGACGGCAGTGGAGTCTGAGCTGCAAATCTGGTTCTTTTCTCACCAACAGCCTAGAGCTAGTGCCTGTGGCGCCCGGGCTGGTGTTTTGGGGAGTGCCTGGAGATCCCCTTTTCCTGCTGCCCCCGGGAGGAGAGCCCCACTGTCTGGGCACTGCTGACAACCGCCGAGAGCCGCGACTGTCCGCGCGGGGAAGTCAGCGAGCAGCAGCAGCAGCAAGCAACTTTCCCGGCCTCGAGGACCAGGGACTTGTGGCCCCGGGTCCCGGAACGAACTTTTGCAAACCCATCCTGCGCCGTAGGCTGCCGCGGCGACGGTAAAGAAAAGAAGGCAGCGGCGAGAGGAGAGACCTGCGCTCAGCTTCGCTAGCACCGGTTGCTGAACTTGGGCGAGCGTGAGTCGCGGCTGCCGGGCATCCCCCTCCCCCTCGCAGCGGAGGAGGGGACAGACATCGGAGTTCGGGCGGCCACCACCCGCCGTCCGCCGCCACTGTGGGATCGGTGCTGCCCAGAGCCACCGGAGAGCCGTTGCCCGGGAGGCGAGTTCATCACCTGGCTCCGAGGTACAGCTGCGCCCAAAGAGCGCTCAGTGAGTGACCGCGACTTTTTAAAGCCGGGCAGCGCGCGCGATAGGACAAGTAAGAGTGCTGGCGGCGTCTTAACCCTGCGCTCCCTGGAGCGAGCTGGGAAAGAGGGCGCTGGGGGGAGATCAGCCAGCAGGGGCGCGCGCTCTTAGAGAAACTTTCTTTGCTAAAGGCTCGGGAGGCGCGGGTGTCCCCTGCTTACCAGCGACCCCGCACAGCTCAAACAAACCCCACGTGAAGTGACGGACTGTTCTATGACTGCAAAGATGGAAACGACCTTCTACGATGATGCCCTCAACGCCTCGTTCCTTCAGTCCGAAAGCGGTGCCTACGGCTACAGTAACCCCAAAATCCTGAAACAGAGCATGACCCTGAACCTAGCCGACCCGGTGGGCAGCCTGAAGCCGCACCTCCGCGCCAAGAATTCGGACCTTCTCACTTCTCCCGACGTAGGGCTGCTCAAGCTGGCGTCACCGGAGCTGGAGCGCCTGATCATCCAGTCCAGCAATGGGCACATCACTACCACGCCGACCCCCACCCAGTTTCTGTGCCCCAAGAATGTGACTGACGAGCAGGAGGGCTTCGCCGAGGGCTTCGTGCGCGCCCTGGCCGAGCTGCATAGCCAGAACACACTGCCCAGCGTCACGTCGGCGGCACAGCCGGTCAGCGGGGCGGGCATGGTGGCTCCTGCCGTGGCCTCAGTGGCGGGCGGCAGCGGCAACGGTGGCTTCAGCGCCAGCCTGCATAGCGAGCCGCCGGTCTACGCTAACCTCAGCAACTTCAACCCGGGCGCGCTGAGCAGCGGCGGCGGGGCGCCCTCCTACGGCGCGGCCGGCCTGGGCTTTCCCGCTCAGCCCCAGCAGCAGCAGCCACCGCCACAGCCGCCGCACCACCTGCCCCAGCAGATCTCAGTGCAGCACCCGCGGCTGCAGGCCCTGAAGGAGGAACCGCAGACCGTGCCCGAGATGCCCGGCGAGACGCCGCCCCTGTCTCCCATCGATATGGAGTCCCAGGAGCGTATCAAGGCGGAGAGGAAGCGAATGAGGAACCGCATTGCCGCCTCGAAGTGCCGGAAAAGGAAGCTGGAGAGGATTGCCAGGCTGGAGGAAAAAGTGAAAACCTTGAAAGCCCAGAACTCGGAGCTGGCGTCCACAGCCAACATGCTCAGGGAACAGGTGGCACAACTAAAACAGAAAGTCATGAACCACGTTAACAGCGGGTGCCAACTCATGCTAACGCAGCAGTTGCAAACGTTTTGAGGAGAGATTGTCGGGGCTGAGGGGCAACGGAGAAAAAAAACAAGAAACAGACTTGAGAACTTGACAGGTTGCGACAGAGAGAAAAAAAGAAGTGTCCGAGGACTAAAGCCAAGGGTATCCAAGTTGGACTGGGTTGCGTCCTGACGGCGCCCCCAGTGTGCACGAGTGGGAAGGACTTGGCGCGCCTTCCCTTGGCGTGAAGCCAGGGAGCGGGCCCGCCTGCGGGCTGCCCCCGCTTTTCGAACGGGCTGTCCCAGCGAGAACAGAACGATAGACTTTTCTTTAACATTGACCAAGAACTGCATGGACCTAACATTCGATCTCATTCAGTATTAAAAGGGGGGCGGGGGTTTACAAACTGCAATAGAGACTGTAGATTGCTTCTGTAGTACTCCTTAAGAACACAAAGCGGGGAGGGTTGGGCAGGGGAGGCGGGAGGGAGGTTTGAGAGGGCAAGGAAGGCCAAGCCTACAGATGAACTCTTTGGGGCCTGCCTTCAACTGTGTATGTACATATATACTTTTTTTTTTTTAATTTGATGAAAGCTGATTACTGTCAATAAACAGCTTCCTGCCTTTGTAAGTTATTTCATGTTTGTTTGTTTGGGTATCCTGCCCAGTGTTGTTTGTAAATAAGAGATTTGGAGCACTCTGAGTTTACCATTTGTAATAAAGTATATAATTTTTTTATGTTTTGTTTCTGAAAATTCCAGAAAGGATATTTAAGAAAATACAATAAAATGTTGAAAAGTATCCCCCAACCTCTTTTCTGCATTATCTATAGATAAAGGTATCTAGGTGGAGTTGAAAGACTTGAGTATCAATGAAAATCACCCATAGCACTTCTTGCTATCAAGCAATAAAAACTGCTCTTTGTTAGACTTTAGGAATAAATGCACCTGATCCTATCATCAGGTTGTACTCTTCCCTTCCCAAGCTGTCTGTACAGAATTGCTTACCAAACTGGTTTTGTGATAGTGTGGTATTTCAGGAGGCTGGAAGAAGAAGTGGGGGTTGGCCGAAGGGGAGCAGCCCACCGGGAAGTCAAACAGTTGGAAAGTTTGGAATTGTATCAAGTGGCATGTGCTGTGACCATTTATAATGTTAGAATTTAACAATAGATGCTTATTCTCAAAACAGGAGCTTGTTGCAAATTTTTACAAAAGATGTATCCATCCAATTTGAAATCTTCACTTTTAACAATTCCTAGATGAAAAAAATGGCCTTTGCTTATGAATATTTATAACAGCATTCTTGTCAAAATAAATGTATTCAAATACCAATAATAACAAATCTTGAATTCCTTTCCCTTTTCTACCTTTTTCTTCCCAAGCTATATACTTAGACTGAAGCTTTCTTTTCAATTTCTGGGGTTAACATTGCAATCTGAAGTTACTCGATAATTAAGAAGAAAATAATTTTGAAAGAGTCAAACTAGAAGTTGTGATGAAACATTGTCCCAGTGTCTGTCTGCCTAACTCCCTCTCCATCTTCTTTTTCTCCTTTCCCCCTAAAAAGAACATGTATGCCTAAGAAAATTAACAGTATAGCAGTTTACGATTTTGTATCCATATTTATTTCTTAATTTGTTTCTAAAATAAACTGGCTTATATAATTATTATAGAAACAGTTTCAAAAGATGCTAATCTAAATACTATGGAAAATATTCACAAGAGAAAATACAAACAGCAATCCGCTTATACATGTAAACCAAACTTCACCTCTGGGGAAATGGCGAAAGTAAAATCTGTCTGCAGATATAACTTATATCAACAAGGCAGTACTCAACAAGGGAACAATTTTTACTTGGTTGCTTTTCATCCCAAGAGCCAGTGTGATTATCAAGCAGCAGAAGCAATTTGATATCCAGGAATATTTCACAAACCACTAATTGAGGCAGGGCTGTTTGCTCATTAGCAGTGCTCTAGTACCCAACAGGTCTGGGAGTGCTAATATCCTGCCTGTGGCTGTAAATCTAAACACACAAAGAGTTTCTCCTTAGGAGTACATCTAGGAGTGGAAGAGATTGGACAGCCTGGTTAGGTATCAGATATACTCTGTTGTAATAACACTCTTAAACAAAGGGGTTACTGGGAGCAGAGTGGAGTTTGCCAAACAGTGAATTTGCCGATGTCAGCAACCCGGAAGGTAAGTTGATTTTGACCATATGTAGGAATAGTCAGCAGAGGGACAGTAAAGCACATTGGGGTGGGGCTCTGTGGAAGCTAAACAAGAGTCAACTAGAAAAAATAAGCAGGCTGGGGAATTAATTACCTGCAAAGGTAGACTAAGCCCAGACAACAGTGCAGCACAGAAAAGCCACACCACTCCCCAGTTTACTTTAGACTTCAGTGTTTAAAAAATGAAAAGTCAGGCCTATCCCCACACTTGATTTTTTCAACTAATGTTCTCAAAGTACATCCCTGCAAATGTAATCATTCTAAGTAAAAGGGGTAGAGAAATTGAAGAGGAAACTAACAAGTGACATAAAGTTTGAAAGCAGAAAATCAGCTAATTATGTATAAACATACTCAATGATTAACTTCATTATGGACCTTCGATGAGTTATTCTTTGGGTAACACTCAGAGAATAAAGCTAATGTCAAATAAAGTCATTAGTCCTCTTTTAATTTGTTATATATATTTATATAATAAATAATTCATTCATGGATTCTTAACTCACTATGTCCATGGGGATAAAGCATTCATGAAATCAATAGAAATGATTACATAATGGTATGTGGGGAGGCAGAGATCATTAGCTTTTATTTGGACTTCCCAGAGTTCTGTGAACCCCAAAAGATGAATTAGTCTGGAACTAATGGCTACATGCTCTTCTATCAGAAACACATCTTTGTATGAATCTGAATCCCACCCTGATTCACCCTTCCAAGATTCTGCTTGCACCCCTCAGCTTATCCCTCTGCCTGGAATACCTTTTCTTCTGGTTTAAAAAAAAAAAAAGACTCCTACCCATTAATCAAGGCTTGCTTGGTATAAATTATACTTTCTCTGTGAAGCTATTCCTGTTAAAATAAATAATTTCCCTCTGAGCATCATAGTATTTTATCAATACTTCTATGACAGCCCTTACACAATGTTACCATTGTGAACATTTATATCTCCTGGTCAGGACCCTCTCCTGTTCATCAGGGGATCCCCAGACTCTTGAAATGGGCCTAGCACATAGTAGATGTTCATTTTATTAAAATATACCTTTCTTTTAAGTTGTAGATGGACACAATATCTTTATTTATTTATTTTTATGTGGTGCTGAGGATGGAACCCAGTGCCTCATGCATGCGAGGCATGTGCTCTACCACTGAGCTACAACCTCAACCCTAGATGTTCATTTCTGATGACTGAATGAATGAGTGAACTTAAATCCTCCTTCAATGTATTTCCAGGCTGTAATCTCTCCTAGAGAAATATGCTTCATCTGTTTCCTGGTATACAATCCCAGATGGATCAAAGACTACCACCCCATGCTGGAAAAGTAAAGCCAATCACCAAGTTTTAAAGCTAGTTCTCGATGAACATTCTTAAAAGAATTAAGCTGTTAACACATTCATACTCCAGCCATACAGAGCATCCCTTCTGTCTTCCACTAATGCAAGTGGGCATCTTTTTATGTAAAATGAGTCTGCCTGAAACATTAGATTCGAAGGTAGAGATGGGAGGTGGGAGAGATGTGTGTATCATTAAGCAGGTACAAAAAGCAGTTACAGATGTGACTATTAAAACCAACTCATTCTGGTGAGAGACAATGGAGAGGAAACAGAGACTATTCCATTGGCATAAGACACATGCTATAAGAAAGAGGTGCCGGGTGAAGGGAGAAGAATCCATTATTTGGAAAGAGTTTATGGGACAGGTATCATTTGAGTGGATCCAGTGGAATTCTCTAGGCAGAAAAGATTGGGGGAAGAACTTGTAGGCAAAGCTTGAGAAAACACAGTGTATTAAGGGACTTGTAAGCTGCTTCAAGAGGCTGGGAAGGAAGGTGTGAGGAGAAAAGTGGAGGAGAAGAAGCAGAGGAGTAATTTAGGGCTCTGACTGTGCACTGACATGTATTCTGTGTTAATATATAGGTGATGGAGGAACGTCCACTCAACTTTGGAAAGATTCATACTGCAATGACAGAATGCAGGGGATATGAAGTAATACCAGAAAGAAGTCTCTGGTTGATCTAGAATGCCTGGTATTTAAGTAGTCCTAGAGTCGGGGGAGACGGGGGAAGAAAATGGCTTTGTCCAAGCTACATCACAGCACATTTCTCATTATACACCTTTCGGACAAGTTAGACCTAAAGAGAGATGTAGGAAAGCTCACTCAACACCTATGCTACTGAAGTTTTTCCTTCCCCTGGGTCCATTTGATATCCTAAAAGAAAGCCATCTTACAAAAATGCTCTCTATCAGGAAACTCAAATAAACAGATACGGAGAAATGGGCCTGCAGTTGCCTAGGCCAGGACTCCCAGGGGAGGGCACCGAGAGGGTCCTCATGGCTGCAAGACCCACTTTGTCTATAGTCACCAGAACTGATTAAGCTCATTGGGACTAATGGACTCAAACTAACTTGGAAGAGGCCAATGTTTTTATTATACTGGAGGAATTGAATAATATAATAACACCTTCATACAACACTCATTCAACTTGTAATATTGAAGGTCCATTTTGTGCCAGATACTAAGAACACAGAGGGGAGCCAAATCAACAGAAGTCTCCTCTCATGACATTTATAACCTAATAAGAAACACTAAATAGGCAAACACAAATAAATGTGTGTGCACAGATCAACGCAGTGGGGGGAAAAAAAACTGGCCACAAGGAAGGAGAAATAGTGTAAATTGGGTGTAGCCTCTCTGGGAGAAGCATTTGAACTGAGGATTCTTAGATAACTGAAGAGTTCAACAGGTGAAGAGTGGAAGAGTAGGATTAGGAATCCCAGATGGGGTCTGCCTGGGGTAGAGCCTGGAAATGTGGGTTTACAGTAGGAGCTCAATGAAAGTCCAAGCCCTGCAGTGGAATAGGCAGAGGGGAGAGTGAAGAGTGATGTCATTTGTGTTCACCAGTTCATATGCTTGTAGTTTCCAGAATATTTTTCATCCCTTCTATCCCGTATTATTTTCACCACTACTCTGGGTGCTCACTGATAGTAGCTATGTTTCACAGGAGCAAAAGCCAAGGCACCCAGTGAATTTTAAGTATACCATAACTAGTGAGACCATGATTCAGGCATCAGTCATCAAGAGCCAAGTGATTTTTCTAAATTCATATATACCATACCTAATGAGACCATGATTCAGACACCAGTCATCAAGAGCCAAGTGATTTTTCTAAATTGTTGCAGATATGATGGTGACCTTTGTTCCCTCACCCAGTATACACCCTAACTTTTATATCCAGGTCCCTAAGGAACTGAATTAGTCATTGGAAGTTTCTTTGATATGCACAGCATCTGAGCAAAGGTAATAAGATAGTCCCCTGGGACATTTTGTCCACGCTACAGAGACATCTAATGAACTCTCTTTGCCCTTCTACAAAATACCCGCACTTGGGAAGAAATCAAATACTCAGTGCTGAGAAGTCCTGACATTTTCTTACTATATACACTCACTTCTTGAATGTATTCTAGAAAATATTGCCTGAGAGTTGACTCATTATTGCTTTAGAAAATTATGTTATTAGATCACTGATCAAGATTCTCCCTTCATAGGTTATGGGTACTCACTGACCATCGGGACAGAAT